CTCTTTAAGGGCTGAGGCACTGAACCTCCGGTGCGCTCAATAAAAACAAACCACAACTTAATTACAAATAAAATACAAACTTTTCTGATAAGAAAAAATTTATTGATTACTTAATAATTCACAAATCGATGGGAAAACAACACAACACTATTTGGTCTGAGCGGGTGCTGAGCCCTGTTGTGCTTTCAATACTTTCGCCACAATCTTCTCCTCTTCGATGAGAAACGCGCGGACAATACTGGGAGACAAAGACACGGATCAGTTAACAATTGGATCAATACAATTCAATTTAGCAATAAATGCAAACGTTATATAACATGTCATACCGGCTTCGGACGCAGGCCGCGCATCGGGAGCCGCCATAGGCTCGGGTGACCGTCTTGTGGCGCCGGGAGAGGGCCGACAGCTCTCGGGGTCGGGCGTACACTATCTGTTGCCATCAAAACATACAGTAATTAATAAAAACCATTCAATAACTGGTGTCCATATAGTGTACACAACAACAGACCCGCCGCACAACACTAGCAGACAATACAGTACACTATCGGCGTGTAATCGACCGGTTGTTGTTGTCGTACACTATATAACGCTGTAGTGAAGACATACTCCTCTCAGTTTGAGTTTACAATCACCGCATTTGGCAACTGATCCGTGCTTTTTGGGATACAAGTACACCAGTTTACCGCCGGGCGTCTTAGAACTGGTCATTCAGTCATCAAAATAAAGAGACAATTAGTGTTACAACCATCACATGTGGCCCTCATTGGCCGCAAAGAGTGGTCACACAAAACGGTACTCACATTCGCCTCCGATTGGATTGTGTATTATAGGAGAGACGTCTCCGGTATGTCAGCCTCTGAACCATTTTCGGTCACTTCTTGTGGTCACTAAATATGGGGTAAAACGGGTTTTAGGCGTTAATAATGACCGCAATTGGCGTTAATTGTGTCCACAATTAAACTCACGTTTATTTCAAACACAACACTATATATGACTTCAACGGAAAAGGATGTGAGAAATGCACGCATTTGTCCACAAATAACGTCCAGTTATTGTGTTTTTAATTGTTATGAATATTAATATGTAATGTGTTTTCTATTTGTTTTACCCGTGAATAGTGTACTCATAAAATGTTGTCTGTATTTAAATATTGTTTATAGTGTACACTTTTTAACCATGATTAATTTAATGCATGATAATTTATGTTTACACTGCAATTATTTGCTGCAATTTATGGCATCTAATTGTTTACTGCAAATTAAATCATAAATTATACACAAAGGGGACTCATATTTGGCACACATTATAATGCTATACAATTGCCAGAGATTTTGAGGGCCAAACGTATGGTCACGTAATTTATGAACACTCGCTAAACACATGTGTTATTTAACTTTGAGTGCCTGAAAAACAAACCTTAAAAACAAACAAAAAAAACTTTAAACTAATCCACAAAACAAGACAACAATTAGATCCCAAGACATCGCGCGGTGGCAGTGATTATGCCATCGATAGTGAACTCGCATACAGTGAACAACACGGAAGAGATCGGCCATCAGTGGTGGTGACCATCAGTAGTGGCCATGAATTACAACATAATAATCGCGTTATCGTTGGTGTGGCTAATCGTCAATGTGTTGAATGTGGTCCTCAAGAGTCTGTTCGCCTACGAGTACAGCCAAACCCTCCAGACATTGGGTCTAACCATACGTCCAGTTCATGTCCAATGGTGTACGCAATCACTCAATCGNTAGTGGCCATGAATTACAACATAATAATCGCGTTATCGTTGGTGTGGCTAATCGTCAATGTGTTGAATGTGGTCCTCAAGAGTCTGTTCGCCTACGAGTACAGCCAAACCCTCCAGACATTGGGTCTAACCATACGTCCAGTTCATGTCCAATGGTGTACGCAATCACTCAATCGGTTCTACTATATGATGAGCGCGTGTCGACCAAAGCTGATGGACAAGTGGTATACCGTCGGCACTGTTGTCACTTTGGCCGCCATTTTCCCGTCGGTGTACCTCTTGTTGCAGACGCTCTACACTCTGGTTGTGGCCAACTATTATGCCGACAGTCGATCGGTGGCCAGGGCTCAGGCCTTGTATCCGGTGGTATGTGTCTGAAGCCTTATCTCATCCATATTTCCCCCGCAGACCACCACTTGTTAAATACTTTATTAATTATTGTGTTTTTCAACTGATCCATGGCTACAGATACCTGGCATTAACCTCCCGTTGTCTGACTTTGGCTACTATTTCATATCTCTGGCCATTTGTAGTATATATCACGAGTCGGGACACGCGTTGGCGGCGCTCAGGTATTGTCTCATTTTATGGCCTCAACAAACTTAATGTCTGGAACTAATTGTGTATTTGTTTTAATGGCCAGAGAGGGCGTACGTCTTCATAGTTTCGGTGTCTTCCTATTCGTGATAATTCCGGGCGCTTTCGTAAACCTGTCCACCGAACAGGTCCTCCATCTAAACGTCTGGAGCCAATTGAAGATCTTCACGGCCGGTGTCTGGCATAACATCAATTTGG